GTTAATTTTTATTCGTACTGGTTAAAGGAGGGTGGGATTTTTTTAACTTTTTAAAAACGTTATTAAAACTTTTAAAAATTTTGATAACTTTTTAACGCTTTTGTAAAAAACTTTTCCGGACGTTAACCCCTAGCTAGCCTAACATCAAATTCCCCAATTCACCACTAACTTCCACCCACCCCAGCTTGCTAAATATATAATTTTCATATATTTAAATTAATTAATAAAATAAATTTAACCCCAGGGGGTTATACATTTTTTTTAACCCTTAGGAGTTAAAAAATAAAAATCAGATGACCGTAAAATACAGTCCCTGCCAATTGTTTACTGTAGTCAGTGATCATTTGACATGGAAGGGGTTAATTTTATTAAAGCAGGGGGGTGGGTGGGATTTAACTGTAACACACATACACAAAGACATACTGAACCACACAGACACTGATGGACTCTCACACACACAGACATACAGATACACTGACAGACATACTGGCACATATACACACAGACAGATGGACATACTGAAACACACATACACACAGACATTGACAGACATATTGACAAACACAGACATACAGAACCACACTGACAGACTCACACATAGACACACTGACACACTGACAGACATACACACATTCTGGCACACACAGACAGACTGAAACACACATAGACACAGACACTGACAGATATACACACATACAGACATTTTGAAACTCACAGACAGCCATACTGAAACACACATACATACTGAACCACACAGACACTGACGGACTCACAGACACAGACATACTGACACACTGACAGACATACTGGCACACAGACAGACATTCTGGCACACAGACAGACAGACATGCTGAAACACACATACACACATAGAGACAGACAGACATGCTGAAACACACATACACACTGAACCACACAGACACTGACAGACTCACACACAGACATACTGCAACACTGACAGACATACACACATACAGACACACTGAACCACACAGACACTGACAGACTCTCACACACACAGACATACAGATACACTGACAGACTTGCACTCATGCAAAATTTGATAACCACCCTCCAGTTTCTTACCTTTTTCTGGAGGGTGGCTTCCCTGGGGTCCAGTGGGCTGGCTGGGGTGGCTGGGAGTTAAGCTCTCCCGGCCTGGCCCCCTCTGGAACAGCTGGTCCGCCTTCCTCCCGTTTCTGTGGGAGGAAGTGATGCGCGGCTGTCACTTCCTCCCAGTGCTGCCGAAAAGCAAGGGCCCGGTCGCGCTGTTAAAGCGCCACAGCGCCCGACCGGGCCCCTGCTGACACAGGCCCACCGGGTGGCCCTAAGTGCATGGGCCACCCAATGGGCCCCCATAGTTTGCGGGCAGAAGGGAAATGGGGCAGCTGTCTTGGGCCCCCCAGCAGGGACAGGGCCCGGGGCAACTGCCCCGTTTGCCCCGCGTTAAAGACGGCCCTGGATCCGTCTCCATGCACTTCGCACTGAATGCGGAAGCACAGGGAGGCGGTTCAGAAGTCTCTGCAGCACATGTGCTTGCTCTGACAGCCTGTCAGAGAGATCACAGCTGCAGGGACAGCGCGATCGGATGCTCCCGGTCAGCCTCGAATACTGAGGCAGACCGGAGGAGCGTTAACCCCAATATCGCTGCGATATGGGGTTAACTTTAGTAAATGACGGAAATTTTCCATTAAGGATCCTTAACGCAAGGACAAGCTTGATGGAAAATTTCTGTCTTTGGTCGGGAAGGGGTTAAAGGTACACTCCAAACACCACAAGTACTACACTGAGCTGTCACATCCACTGCATCCAGCTATTTCCAGCAGGATGAATCAGATGTCTCTATTGAGTAAAACATGGCTGATGTTGTATCATTTTCATTGGCTTTGAGTGCTCTTCTGACACTCTCAGACAGTGAGCTTAATCTGTCATGGCAAAACAAAGTAAAGGATCAGCACTAACAAGCCACAGAAACCGAATAAGGGCAGCACACCTAAGTGAATGGGGTTCTCTCAAAACCCCCCAAAAATTGTTTAGAAAAAGGGAGAGGGGAAGGTAGCGCCAGTAGTATGATATTTTAAATATATATTCTGATACATGTAGGCGGTCAGGTGAGCTGGGGAAATCCTAGGAAAAACAGTGGTCAGCGAATTCTTCAGTGATATGCCACCTGGGAATACGAATCATTAGGAGTAGTGATGTCCCAAACGGTTCGCCGAACAGTTCGCGAACGGTTCGGCGCGAACGGTTCGCCGCGGACTCATCATTAAGTAAACTTTGACCCTGTACCTCACAGTCAGCAGACACATTCCAGCCAATCAGCAGCAGACCCTCCCTCCCAGACCCTCCCACCTCCTGGACAGCATCCATTTTGAAGCTGCATTCTTAGTGAGCCGTCCAGGAGGTGGGAGAGTCTGGGAGGGAGGGTCTGCTGCTGATTGGCTGGAATGTGTCTGCTGACTGTGAGGTACAGGGTCAAAGTTTACTCAATGATGAGTCCGTGGCGAACCGTTCGCGGTGAACCGTTCGTGGCGAACCGTTCGTGGCAAACCGCTCGCGAACCGTTCGGGACATCACTAATTAGGAGTCTTTACTGATTTTTGTGCCACATTTACTTTAATCTTTTTATCCAAATTTGCCTTGCATCCTGCTTATCTACGCCAGTGAGGACCTCACTAAAGAGATCAAGGGTGGGGACCATACTACCTACGCCCTGTCCATTGAGCAGTAAGCCTGCTCAACTAAATGTGAGTACATTTCATGCACATCTTTTACTCCTGACTTTATACATACAGAGCAAAAATACTCTTTTCTGTTCTATTTTCGTGAGTCCGCCTGCAGACGGGTAACTTCGCCGCCCGGAAGTATTTGGTTGTGGCAACTCGGTTGCTTATGGTGGAAGAAGCCAGCCTTTTTACCGTAAAGTACCTGAACTGTTGCATTATATAAACAAGGGCGAACTTTGGAGGAAGCTGCTATGAAATAATCTTTGCAATAAGTGGATAGATTGTCTCTGCCATTTTTATCCCAGGAGGAAGTGATATTTGGAGCTGTCATAGTTAAAGCAAGCTCTTCTGCTCTTCTTTTGTGAGTGTGCATTTTTATTTATTACTTTTTGCTTTCTGTTTTATAGATTTACACTATTTGTGTTTTTCCCCTCCTTTATATGTTACATGGACAGGATCAGCATATGCATTTCTGAGTGAGTGCTTTGTGTATTTTACCACAGTTTACACAAATGTGCACAATACATGTTAAGAAAATTTATGCAATTTATGCAAACCACACTTTTGCACAATAAATCACTTGCTGCACTTTAAATAACTTTGTCTTAAAGGCACATTGCATCTATATTTAGACATAGATTACTGGAACCATGTCCTGTGGTCCGATGAGACCAAGATAAACTTATTTGGTTCAGATGGTGTCAAGCGTGTGTGGCGGCAACCAGGTGAGGAGTACATAGATAAGTGTGTCTTGCCTACAGTCAAGCATGGTGATGGGAGTGTCATGGTCTGGGCCTGCATGAGTGCTGCCAGTACTTGGAAGCTACAGTTCATTGAGGGAACCATAAATGCCAACATGTAGTGTGACATACTGAAGCAGATCATGATCCCCAACTTTCGAAGACTGGGCCGCAAGGCAGTATTCCAACATGATAACGACCCCAAACACACCTCCAAGACGACCACTGCCTTGCTAAAGAAGCTGAAGGTAAAGGTGATGGACTGGCCAAGCATGTCTCCAGACCTAAACCCTATTGAGCATCTGTGGGGTATCCTCAAACAGAAGGTGGGGAAGCACAAGGTCTCTAATATCCACCAGCTCCGTGATGTCGTCATGAAGTAGTGGAAGAGGACTCCAGTGGAAAACTGTGAAGCTCTGGTGAACTCCATGCCCATGAAGGTTAAGGCAGTGCTGGAAAATAATGGTGGCCATACAAAATATTGACACTTTGGGCCCAATTTGTACATTTCCACTGAGGGGTGTACTCACTTTTGTTGCCAGCAGTTTAGACATTAATGGTTGTGTGTTAGGTTATTTTGAGGGAACAGCACATTTACACTGTTATACAGGCTATACACTTACTACTTTACATTGTTGCAGAGTGTCATTTCTTCAGTATTGTCACATGAAAAGATTTAATAAAATATATCTTGTGAGGGGTGTACTCACTTTTGTGAGATACTGTACATACTGTACCATTGGGATCTTATCTTTTTTTTTTACATGCCTAATGGATTCCAAGCCTCTTCTGATCCGCATCTACTTATAAGAAAAACGATTTCTGTCATGACTCTATTGTTCCCATGCAAGTGACTTTTTACTCTACTGTGGACATTTTATACAATTTATTTTATATTTCATATTGTATTTTATAGTATTAGTATATATTTTTTTTTACAAATATACATATCCTACTACTGATGCTACCTTCCCCTCTCCCTTAATCTGTCATGGACCTGCTTATTTCCATACTGCTGGAGAAGACTAAATTTGCAGCTGACACAGCAACAGGTGGTACCCAGGTAAATTATAAAACCATGTGATATATTGAGCCATAAAAAGCACCAGTGGAGTATTCTTTCATCACATAATTTTTATTTATTTTTTATAATTCTTTATTTTTGTAGTGCATAGATAGGTAAACAAGCAGATAAAGACATGACATTAATAGTTAATTTGACAAAATAAATTGCTGGTACATTATACAGGTGATACTCGAAAAATTAGAATATCGTGCAAAAGTTCATTTATTTCAGTAATGCAATGTAAAAGGGGAAACTAATATATGAGATAGACGCATTACATGCAAAGTGAGATAATTCAAACCGTGATTTGTCATAAGTGCGATGATTATGGCTTACAGCTCATGAAAACCCCAAATCCACAATCTGAATATTGTGAAAAGATGCAATATTCTAGGCTCACAGTGTCCCACTCTAATCAGCTAAGTAAGCCATAGCACCTGCAAAGGGTTTCTGAGCCTTTAAATGGTCTCTCAGTCTGGTTCAGTAGGAATCACAATCATGGGGAAGACAGAAGACAGTTGTACAGAAAACCATCATTGACACCCTCCATAAGGAGGGAAAGCCTCAAAAGGTAATTGCGAAGGAAGCTGGATGTTCCCAAAATGCTGTATCAAAGCACATTAATAGAAAGTTATGTGGAAGGGCAAAGTGTGGAAGAAAAAGACGCACAAGCAGCAGTGATGACCGCAGCCTGGAGAGGATTATCAGGAAAAGGCCATTCAAAAGTGTTGGGGACTTTCACAAGGAGTGGACTGAGGCTGGAGTCAGTGCATCAAGAGCCACCACACACAGATGGATCCTGGACATGGAACTTTGATGTCGTATTCCTCTTGTCAAGCCGCTCCTGAAGAACAAACAACGTCAGAAGCGTCTTACCTGGGCTAAAGAAAAACAGACCTGGTCTGCTGCTCAGTGGTCCAAAGTCCTTTTTTCTGATGAGAGCAACTTTTGCATCTCATTTGGAAACCAAGGGCCCAGAGTCTGGAGGAAGAATGGAGAGGCACATGCTTGAAGTCTGTGTTGATTTGGGGAGCCATGTCATCAGCTGGTGTTGGTCCACTGTGCTTCATTAAGTCCGGGGTCAACGCAGCCGTCTACCAGGAGATTTTGGAGCACTTCATGCTTCCTTCCCCAGATGAGCTTTATGGGGATGCTGACTTAATTTTCCAGCAGGACTTGGCACCTGCCCACACTGCCAAAAGCACCATAGCCTGGTTCAATGACCGTGGGATTACTGTGCTTGATTGGCCAGCAAACTCGCCTGACCTGAACCCCATAGAGAATCTATGGGGCATTGCCAAGAAAAAGATGAGAGACATGAGACCGAACAATGTAGAAGAGCTGAAGGCCGCTATTGAAACATCCTGGTCTTCCATAACACTTCAGCAGTGCCACAGGCTTATAGCTTCCATGCCACGCCGCATTGAGGCAGTAATTGCTGCAAAAGGGGCCCAAACAAAGTACTGAGTCCATATGCATGCTTATACTTTTCAGAGGTCCGATATTGTTCTATGTACACTCCTTGTTTTATTAATTGCATGTAATATTCTAATTTACTGAGATTGTGGATTTGGGGTTTTCATGAGCTGTAAGCCATAATCATCGCACTTATGACAAATCATGGCTTGAACTATCTTGCTTTGCGTGTAATGCGTCTTTCTCATCTATTAGTTTCCCCTTTCACGTTGCATTACTGAAATAAATGAACTTTTGTACGATATTCTAATTTTTCGAGTATCACCTGTATATTGATTCAAACACCAAGATATGTTTAGTTGACAACTGACTCTATAAGAGATGTAAAAAATCTCTCCAGTTCAGCCAACTTGCTGTTTTCTTTAAATCCAGGTAAATGCAAATACAAATCAGTTCACATGTCACTGTTTAGTGATTAAACCCATTAGTGATATTTCATTCAGATGAAATGAATACCCCAGAGCTGGAACATAAAGGCTCCAATCCCCAAACATGACCATTTTGTTAATGAAACTATGCCCATTTTATGCTATTCAAGTTTTCCAGGCTTCACCTACATTTGCAGCCTAATTACTTTGATAAGCAGCTCTCTAATGTCTCTTCTGCATAAGTCGTCCAGACCACACAGCGCCATATGCAATCCCACCATTGAGATCGTTTATGGCATGAGCGGCAGGGTGTGCGGTGATGGAAATGAGAAAAGAACAATAAAATTCAAAATGAAGAAAGAGCTTTCTTTCTTTCTTTTTTTTTATTCTCTATTCACAGACTCCCTCCCGCCACCTTGTAAAAGAGAGTTTTATGGTAGCTTTTTGTAGGTATCACGGGGAGGAAAGAACTTACACTAAACAGTCATGCCTGTGCGTACCTGTGCCATGCATGTGTGTCTGTAAGAGTATGTGTGTTCAGATTTTACAAGGTTTCCAGTCCCGGTCGGTGACAGCCAGAGGGGTAGTCCTTGGGTGTTGTTTGGATTTTATAGTGTGTAAAGGATCAGCCTAATTAGCAGGAGGGTGAGAGAGCAGTTACCAAGCAGACTGAGGCGTGGTGGTTTTGTATTGTAAGCCATTAATATACTTATTATGCACACAGAAGCGCAGACTCTCAAATCAGATAAAGCAGCAGTTTGCCTCATTGAAATCCCTTAATTTCCTACTACTAACAAAGTTCATAGGTAAAAGTGGTTTAACCCTGTAATCTAATTGATTAGAACTATTGTCCCTTACAAATAATTAATTATCCTGAAAACAAAAATAAACAAATTCCAGTACAGCAAATCTGTCATTTAATAGTGTTGCCTAGATAATTTGACAAAAATCTTTTGCTTGATACTATTTTAATATTTGTAACATGGAAAAGAATAGTGTAAGATGCCAAAAAGTATAGAAGCTGGTAGGATATTTCTTTTAACATGATGAGAGAAGTTTCTCACATTATAGTGCATTATGAAACCAAATAGGCAGGCAGAAGAGGGGCAATTTTTTTTATCGTTGGACATGCTGGAACTGGAGGAGTTGATGTCTGTAGATTAGTAGACTATAGGGTTAGCAGCATTGTTTTATAGAAAGGTGGTGATTCATTGAAGATCTGCCAAGCTTAAAAAGGGAACATGGTAACGGAATTCCAAACTGCTGCATGTAGGCATAGGTCGAGCTACATAAAATCCCATTAAAGATCATTAAGGCCCATGGTTTTAGCAAGTAGGCAAAGGCACATTCGTTTTAAGAAGTGATTGTTTGCTGTCACACTGACACTGCTTCAAATAAATCATCACGGCCAACCTAGTCTATTTTGCTGTCTATCGCGGTAAAGAGCTTTTCAAAGAAACAGAGATCAATAATGCAGTCGCATAACAAATATGGAGAAGGCCCTGGTTCAAGGAATTTTTAGGGCCCTCTTGTAGGTCAAGGGTGACCAAAAGGTAGATCTTTAGCTATCCTACAACTCCCATGATGCTTTGACAGCTGGACTGTATTTGTCAGCAGTGTCTGTGTGTTTGAATGTAAAAATGTTTTGTATAGAATAGGTTTGTGTGAGTTTAGGGGTGTATTTGTGTGTAGTCTTCGTGTTTGAATACAGGGATTTGTTGGCATTTAAATGCAGGGGTGTATTTAGATCAAGTGTTGGTGCTTAAATGCAGTGGTGTGAACTTGCCGTTTGATTGCAGGGTTGTATCTGTATGCAATGTTGTTTTTTGAATGCAGGGGTGTATTTGTGTGTAGTTTGTCTGCTGTTTGAATACTCAGACATAGGCACATATACACATACACTGCCACACACAGATACACACACATGCACACTGTCACACAAACACAGATACACACAGACACATTGACACACATTCACAGACACACTAAAATACATACACACACAGATACAGATATACACTGACATATGCTGACACAAACAAATCTAAACACACACACATACTCAAACTTATATACACATATAGATACACGCTGACAAACAAATATTCATGCACACTGAAATAAACATACACTTATTTAGAATTTATAATTTACATATTTCAGTGGGATCTGTCTGCTGGTTAAGGCTGATTTAAGTCTGAAGCTGGTACAGGGTCTCTCCTTCCTCCTCCCCCGCCTCTCTGCCTCCTCGTAGCCCGTGTGAGTTGCTCTAGGAGGAAGCAATCTGTATTCACTTCCTCCTGGCATTATAGTACTGGCAGGTGCCTGGTTGTGCAGTGTTTGTCCAGGCCCCTGACCAGAGATGCCCATTGATAGCCCCCCCTGCTGCTGCAAGAATGTTTTTGATGTTCTGTGATGCAGTCTCTTTTGGCTTTCCAGTGAGCATTGTGTGCATTGCCTCTATATCTGCTACGCATTATGATAAAGCAGCAGTTTGCTTCACTGAAATCCCTTAATTATGCAATGTATCTCCTTGTGGTTTAATTTTTGATATAGCATAGTCATGCACTTTAATCACTACTACATTCCTTTCCAACAGCCCCTTGCCATCTGTTTTTAGTGATGACTTCCCTAAAAACATGCTGATCCTGTTCTCACTTTTGTTCATCACCGCCTTGAGAAATCAATATAGAAATGATGGGACATAATGATTCCAGGTGTGGCTCCTTTATCCCACAACTGACTAATCCATCACCGTCCTCTCAATAAGCTAATAGCCCTAATGTGTGAACATTGATTTCTGGGGTGAAGGCAGAGCACGTGTGATTTACTGTTACCTATTTCCTGTCTATGAAATCTCATTGATTTCAACAAGTGCTGCAATTTCTGTAATTCTTCAGGGAAGCTATGTCAAAGCAGGTAGACTATAAAGGAAGGAACCTTTGCCATCAAATGTCCTGGATGCCAAATGATGGACCCCAATACCACACTGAAAATAGTTATGTGAACTGACTCTAGGATACAAATAAAATGATTTTGGTCACAGACATTGTGTATTGTAAACGTGCATTTGAGTGCTCCTAAATAATTGCATCTTTGTCAACTATCCATTTAAGCATACTGTGACGGTGTTTGTAGGTGTGCCTGTATGACCGTGTGTCTGTATTTGTGTTGACTGTGACGCTATGTGTGTTTGTATGACAGTGTTGTTTTAATAAACTTGCCAATCAATTACAAATGGTAGGCAGGATTGTGTTTCTCTTCCATTTAATTGCTCTGGTATGGTTACTCGGGAGGGGCACTGGTGGTGGGCTAGAGCGGGGTGAAAAGGGCTGCAGCGGAGGAATAGGGGACTTTTGTTTAGGGGATAGGAGGCTTTACACATATGCAGCCACACACAGTGATATGGAAACACAATAACACACTGGCACATACACACAGATACAAACATATGCCTTCACACACATACACTGGCACACCCACAGATACAAACCTATACCTACACAGGCACACACAGATACCTACATACACAGATACACATACCTACACATATACAGACACTGGCACACAAATACACACACTGGCGCACGCACACACACACATCCCTACATATACACAAAATGACACACATACCTTCACATATACACACACAGATACAAGGCAATAGAATATACAGGCAAAACTCCAGGTACTGAAGATGTATTTATTGTAGTATAAAACACCTTAAAAGTGCAAATGTGTAACGTTTCGGCCCGAGAGGGCCTTAATCATGTTTAGGTCCATCTAGGGCTGAAAAGTTGCACTTTTGCACTTTTATGTGGTGTTCTACCCTTCAATAAATACACTTTCAGTACCCAGAGTGTTGCCTGTATATTCTATTACCTTGTATTGTTAGACGGATTAGCAGTGTCTGTCTAATGCAGAACACCTCTGAGGCTGTGGACTACTACATACTCACAGATACACACTAACACACAAACAGACTCACAGATACACACTGACACTCACAGATACTCACAGATGCATAGTGACACTCACAGATGCACACTGACACTCACACATACACACTGACACTCACACGTACACACACATACACACTGACACTCACAAATACACACACATACACACTGACACTCACAGATACATACACACACACACACACACTGACACTCACAGATACACACTGACACTCACAGATACACACACATACACACTTGGCACTCACAGATACACACTGACACACCCAGATGCACACACATACTCACAGATAAACACTGACACTCACAGATACACACAGATGTACACATACCTAATTGCCCCGTTGCCCCTCCCCCCGGATCCGCCACTGACACACACACACTCACTAACAGACAAAAACACACTCACTAACAGACACACACACACTAACAGACACACACACTTACAGACAGACACACACTAACAGACAGACACTCACTAACAGACTCACTTACTAACTGACACACACACATTCACTAACAGACACACACACTCACTAACAGACACACACACACACTAACACACACACACTAACAGACACACACAGTCAGACACACACACACACTAACAGACACACACACACACTAACAGACACACACTAACACACACACACACTAACAGACACACACACTAGCAGACAAACAAACACACTCACATTAACACACTTTTTAAAAAAAATGTAACCCCCCCAGCCTCCTTACCTTTAGGAATGCTGAGGGGGTCTCCCTCTCCCTGGGGTCTAGTGGGTCTGCCGGTCGGTCGGTCAGGCGGCCGGCGCTGGCGAGGGAGCACTTTCCCCTGAGCTGTCTGCTTAGCTCCCTCGCGCGCCACAGAGTGATGCCGGTCACCTGGAGCCGGAATATGACGTCATATTCCGGTTCCCGGCATCACTCTGAGGCGCGCGAGGGAGCTGAGCGGACAGCTCAGGGGAAAGTGCTCCCTTGCCAGCGCCGGCCGCCTGACCGACCGCCCGGCCAGCAGCCCAAACCAAATCTCCTCATAACCTTATCATAATAACGATTCAAATTCAAAACCAAACTTTAATAATGTTTAGTGGGCTTTTGTATCTTCAAATCCAAGGTGAATATAAGGGAGTCAGCAAATATTTACCAGATTTTAAAAAACGTAAAGTCATGATTT